ATTACGGGAGAGAAAGGGCTTGGTGAGGGAGAAATTCGGTTTCGAAGGGGGTTGAACCTTAAAGTAGATGGAAGTAAAATCGCGCGGAGGCGAGAAGAAGAGAGCGAGAAAGAGAAACAGCGAGCCCCTGGAAGCACAGCAATCGACCCCACGCGCTCGGCTCTGCTTCCGCACACACGAGCAAATCCCCTCGTTTTTGGATTTTCGGGTAAAACGGGTAAAGGGGAGATCGGTGAGTAATTCGAGATTGGGTCGCGAGTCCGGGATGCGTGCGGCGTGAGCAGGGGTTGCTTTTTCGAATCTGCCCCCTTCACCGCGCGCGTCCACCACCCCCGTTACGCGGTCTCCCTCTCGGGGCAGGTTTGACCAACATTTTCGAGGGGTGAGATGAAGCACGGGAGGAATTTTGCGCGAGAGGGGGACGAGATCGCTTTATCCGTCGCCAGCAATTTGTCCGCGACGATTTGCGGCGGCGTGCGACGCTATGGCGACGAACTCTCGACGAACGATCCCTGCCAGGGAGATTAAAATTCTTTTAGGCCCAGGTGATCGGCGTTAGGAGGCAAGTTGTATGAGACCCGACTGAATGAGATTTTTCATCGCGCCGGAAAATTTCGTTGACGTGTTGACGCGATTATCATCGGATATAACATTGTTTTGTTATCATTTAGATATTTCCGCAAGTTGACAGTCGATTACTCGTATCGTCGGCGCTGTTAATAATACAAAAAGACATAGGAATGATAGAAATGCATATTTAAACTTTAATTAAATAACATCAGTGATTTTTATTGACCGTATCCGGCAATTAAAATTCTTATTGCGAAAAATATTGCCACACAGCACAGAAAGATTGCAGGAAGATTGCAGAAATGTTACATTGCAAGATTGCAATATTGCAGCAACGTTGAAATGTCCGCCCTCAGAGAGATTGCAGTGCAATATTTTTGAAATAATTTGTTGTTGTTGTACATAAGCAGAGAATTTACTAATTACATGTCGCAATAGATGGAGATTGCGAGCAACACCGCACTGATCAAGTGCTTAATAATTCGCGTATTATTGGTATCAACGAAAATAACATTATAAAATTCTCGTAATTAGAAAAATTTTTTAAATAGAAAATATAGTATTTTCATTATTTTTGAAACATTGCTGCAATATTGCTATCGAAAGTTTGCAATTTTACATCCCTGCAATGTCTCTGCAAGATTGCAACGTTTCTGCAATGTAACTGCTACCATCTGTGCTGTATGGGTTACTTGTAATATTTTTCGCAATAAGAATTTTAATTGCCAGATACGGTCAATAAAAATCACTGACGTTATTAATTACTTCTGGCAACTTTTAAAAATATTCTTACTAGTTTAATTAAATAGCCCAAAGAACTGTGTTGTCTAACGATACGCTGTGTTTAATTGCTTGCTGAATTTAGAGATTATTTTTTAGATTGTTAAGAGGCATCAATGGGACATTTATATTTTAATTCTCTTTGGGCAGAATGGTCGCGACACTTTTTTTTTAAACGAGTTCAGGAACGCGCATTTAGATTCCGATTTACGTTCCAAAATATTTTACTTGGAAAATAGATCGGAAACGCTCAAAATTTTTTCGGAATGGCCATCGAGTGAAATATTCCTCGGAGGACTAGTCCGTTCCCCTTTGGGACGTAATCTTAACTCTAGATGCACGTTCCTAAACTCATTAAAAAAAGTGTCGCAACCGCGGATAATGGCACGCGCGATAGAATAATATTTTTTTAACCTTAAATGACTTTTTAATTTAATCCGTCACGCACTTTTCTCTTTTTAAAATCGATCTCGATTTTCACGGAAATCTTCATCAGGCTCGGAGTGAACCGTGCGAAAGTATGTGCTTCCGTTCTTTTGTTAAGATTCCCTCCTATTTGAACAATCATTAATATATTAATATATTTTTCTTCAACTGCTTTCAGTTTGCTACGAGCTACCAGTATATCGTTTTCTACCCTTTATGAAGCGGAATCGTTTCACACTTTCCTATATATAGTACAAAAATATGCGCGAGCACGTAGCCCTGCACCTTGGATTTCAGTTCATTTTAACAGCTTTATGTGAAGCGTCTCCGAGGTAAGATATTTATAATATAACAGTTCCAAGATTTCCCCATTTTGGTCACTTGATTGATTGATTTGCAAAATGTGGTCTGAAATATGTGTGTTCGGTTTCTCTAACGTCGCTGGACTTTAATTTTATTTTAACTCATCCTTTATTTGCTTCTAAGGGGACGTTGGAGAAACCAGGCCTAAGAATTTCACAATGTCGCTGACACTTTTCCCCACGATGGTAAATTCTTTCGTTTTCCATTTCAGCAGCGTTCTTGCGCGGACTCGTCTCGATGTGGGAAAAATCTTTGTCGCGAGCCACGAAACGTTTTCAAAAATAGCCCAAGTCGATTATATTTTATGACATTTTCATTCTTTCGCGCGCGACAACGTTCGACTTTATTTATGCAGGACAATTACCGCGTTGAGTGTCGACGACAAGCCGCGCAGTAGAAGACGATTTCGGAGTCGCAAGTGTATCGAGGCCTATACTCGTCTATTTTTTAACGCACAACTGTGCTATAAAGAGCCACGGGATTATTTTTGTATGCCCCCAGTTTTCCTCGCACCCTCGGCTCGTGTATCTCGTTTGCATGCGTCTACTTGCGCCCGTGGCGCAACCAACGGGACGCCAGATCGAATAGCCGATGCGTGTCCTCGGACTACGAGTTTCACCCTCCTATCGCCGTTCGCAACGGGCGTCGATTTCGCCTCTTCGACGCACGTATGTGTACGCACGCCGCCACAAGGTGAAGAGGTCACTCCGTCCCGACTCGTTTATGGGAGCGATGGCAAGGCGCGAGGGTTACTTCGCCCTTATTCGCAGCCCGTATTCAAAACGTCCCTCTTTTCCGGTCGACGACTACGGCGGCGTCTACGAGATTGTCGACTTGATCGGGACGCGTTGACAGTGACGCGCGGAACTCTCGCGAATACACGCTCGTGCTCTCAATGAACAAGAAATGAAACGGAAGCCCACTTTTACTTTGACTCGCGTCCACATCTGCCCTGGCAGCCGTAAAAACCGAAGCCGGGAACCAAACGCGCCGAAATTCTCCTTTCGTCCCGTTTTTCCTTCCTCCGACACTTGGCTCGCCTCTCAAACGTATCCGGCGTTTTTTTTTACCCGCAGGAGACGATTTGCTACTCAACACGTGACACCGCGCAACGAGACGCACAATCGACAATTTGAATCGTCGGAGATTTCGCGCCATACGCGAGTCTCTTTTTCGTATTCTGTCGTACACAGTACCACAAATTAAGGGCGTCCCGGGTTCACATAGGTACTTAAAAAGCGTCCATCTCCTATTAAAATCATCTTTACATAATCTTTCGCCTAAACCCCAGACCCTATTTGCAGCGATCCTTCCTTTCCTCTTCAGCACTTTTACATGCTCGACAATTACCTTTCCTATCAAACGTGAAACCCAGATATTTAAACATTTCTACTTCCTCTATTATTTTATCGCCCTATTTCCAGGTCTTCCTGCCTTTTTTACCTTTACTATTAAATACCAACACTTTAGTTTTTCTGTACTTAATTCTAGTTTCCTTTCTTTTAAAAATCTTTTTAACATGCTCATCATATCTAGTAAGGCCTTTCTATTTTTCGCTAACCATATCATCCGCGTATGCTAATGACCACACTCTCACTCCTCCAAGCTCTACTCCTCCTATGCCACGATTTTCTAAAGCTTTATCGATGTCCGCAATGTATAAATTGAACAGAGCGGGGCTCATCACACAGCCCTGCCTTACACCTTTCTACGTCTTGAAGCACCTTGTGAATCCATCCTTCGTCCTTATTGTCACCTCCGTCTCTTTGTAAATAAGAAAAATTCTACATATCCAGTAATAAAGTTTTTTCCTCTCTCCCTCTACGGGAGCGTCTTTCAACCGTTAAGGTTATTTAGCGTGTCTTCTCGATCTGAGATACAGCTATTACACTATCTTCCCTGTATGTCCAATAAATTAACAAATAAGCTCCACCTACTTCCAATTTTCTCACTTGATAACGTACATAATCAGTTCTACACTTTTGTATAATTGCTAATAATATATTAGCAATTTTAATGTATATGTGTATGTACGTACCTATGTATATAGGTGTCCACGTGCCTTGCCCCACTCCTTATCACGTGGCTTATTTTAGTTTAGCCCTTTCCGGATTATAGAGCAGATTGCGTTGAAAATCGTCCCCGGTTTTCTCAGGAAAAAGTATGTCCCCCCTGATTCCAAGTTTCATCCAGATCTCGTCACATAATTTGCCAAATATTTTCTTATCGAGGATAGGTGTCAACTATACGTCGACAAGATATCGACAAAGTATTACGCGGATCTTCTTACGAAATCAATGAAGAATCTAGTCGTCGTCAAATTAAACGGCCCGCAAAATCATAACCGATTTGATCATCGACTTGTGGACCTGGACTCTTAGCGTCGTTTCGTCGATTTATGCGCCACTAACGCGGGGCAGGTGTACCTTTGCCCTTCGCGAGCGCGCCTTTGCTGGATTAATAACACATCTCGATGAGCTGCGATTTAGTATCTGCGCGAGCTGTAATTGCTTCATTGTGGATTTTACAACTTAATCGATCGGTGCCTCGTTACGATATACGGCTTCGCCCGGAGCGAGTCGCCTGTGTGGTCCATCCTTCTTGTATCTCGCACTCCCTTCTTCTTCTGCGTCTCCCTTTAACCGTCTCTGAAATCCCGAGCCATTGTGCCTTTCCGCGTTTTCCTCGCGTCCGCCACGGACGACTCACATTGTCGCAGATCCATCGGGAAAATACGAGGCCGCGGGCGAGGCTCAGCATGGTCGATTAAATTTCTCGCCGATTTGGATCTTCGAAAGGCGCGACGTGACTCGTCAACCAGGGTGGGCACGCGGCCCCGACTTTGTTCGCGGTCTCTACGCTGACGCACCTAACCTATCGGTGACAGAAAATTCGGCGCGTCTCCAACAAATTTTTAATACGTAAACTGCAATGGAAGATCAGGTAATGGCGGAAGTCTTATATCTTGTCACTAAAGAGTCCCGTAAGATGTATTTTTCGCGTCATATTCTAAGGAAGGTTTGCTTGTAGCACTCAGCGCGCATTAGCGCAAGCAACCGAATTCGCTGTAAGAATTTATTATTCCGCATAATTTTTCGAAAGCTGCCTTCCAACTTTTTGCGATAAAATGCAAATTTTAATAAAAATTGGCACCGTATCGTGGATATTAAAACTTAAACTTAAAAATCTTGACTCGACAGCGCTCCATGCGTCTTTTCTATTTTCTGCTTTCATTAAAGAACCTCTCGACTTCCTGCAGAGTGCTTTTATACACAAAAGCGCTCTTATAAGAACGGTTAAGTTCGTTGAAATATCCAAGAATGGGAGAAGGTATATGCGCGTGTGTCCCGGGATCTTCTGGTGTATCTTTCGCCTTCTCCGCAGGACATTAGAAGGCAGGAGCGCGCGGGTTAACTCATGCGCAACGGGAAGAGAGAAGGAGGGATGCGGGAGTTACTTTTATTTATACATCGAAGGCAGCACACGCCTTGTCATCCAGCAGCCTCGCTCTCTCTCCCTTTCTCTCCAGGCGCGTTCTCTCGCAGTTTTCTCGCATGGGCGCACCTCAAGAGGGTGCCCGCTCTTGTCGCGACAGCGAGAGGCGGCCACTCCGCAGCTGCACAATCGTCGCCCACGGCGCAAGGTTCATTTAACTTCGCAAATACACAACTCTTTAACATTGTGTCGCGCTAAACGTCCCGCTGCCAGTGTCCCGCACTAATGGACACTGACAAATGGTCCCCGAAAGAATTCCGCGCGCGAGACCTCTTGTGCGCGTTGCCTCGGGCTTCTTCACTCGTCTCCTCCACTCGCGGTGGCGGCTCCGGCGGTTGCCAACTGCATAACATCACGGAGAGGCGTTCGGCGTTTTGCAAATTGTCTCGTCCGCCGAGAGACTCGTATTTCGCGATCACTACGTTTCTCAGGACGAGGTGGAGATTCGGAGACGAACGTTTTACGTTACGACACGGCTCCTACCCCAGTGAGAAACGACTCGTCGAGCGATGTCGAAACGACGTCGATTCGACATTGTTTCGACGAACCATTTCTAACCGGGACGAAAACCACAGCCTAGCTAGTAGGTCCAATTTCTGCTGGCTCCTTTCATCTTTGCGGTTCCGATCATGTAGTGTTTCGCCATGTCTTTGGTCCAAATACAGCAGCGTATATGTACATTCATCGAACTACACTAGCCATGGACTGTGTTTACATGTTAAACTATGTTTACACTCTCAAAATGCGACTTGTCAGGATAAAAAAATGCGACTTGTCGAAATTTAACCTTGTAAATAGGTTACCGAATTTTGTTTCAGTGGTTGGGATCACTACTTAACAACTACTTAAGCCAACTAGCCACTGTGAAACTGGGCCAATGGAATAACTGTAATTGGCCAGCCCCTTAAGGGGATGCTGGAGTGATTCTACACTTTTGCACCTTTCTAACCTAAAAACTGTCAGTTCGCGAAAACATTTGTGTAATATACAAATTAAATGGCTCACGTGTACAGATCGAAAGCAGCTCGCTATTCCGGCCAAATGAAAGAACAATATGGCATCACTGAAACTAAGTTTGTAAGTCTAATAAGAAACAATTGTGAGCAACACATGCATACATGTAGTATGTGCGTTGCTTACTATTATTTTTTATTAGACTTACAAACTTAGTTTCAGTGATGTCATATTGTTCTTTAATTTAGCCGGAATAGCAAGCTGCTTTCGATCATTTGTACACGTGCCATTTAATTTGTGTATTACACAAATCTTTCCACGAAACAGACAGTTTTAAGTGCAAAAAGTGCGAAAGTGCAGAATCACTCCAGCATTGGCCAGCCCCTTAACTACGGATGTTATTAAACCCGTGTAAACATAGTTTTCACATGCAGCTTTTCTCTCATTGGCTGGGCCGACAAAATGTCGGATGCGCGGGAGGGATCGACGCAAAACGAAACGAATGACGGAGTGGACCTACTTGTTATACTCTGGTTATACTATGCGGAAAGTACGAGCGCGCTCAGCCGCGGGTGTTTGCCCCGCCTGTTGGCGTTTTTGCTGTAAAGGAATACAGCACGAGTTGTGGCAAGTTGTGTTGTGACAATGAAGCCTGACGCTACCGAAGCTCACGAGATACAGGACCGCAGATAAAGGAAGAGAGGATTCCTCGAGCAACTACACGATGTCGGTTCCTCCCTTCGCGTGTTCGACTCGCGCCGACTCATCCTCCTTTGAGGTCCCTACGTCTCTTGCACACACGGGCCTCGTCTGTATACACATACGCACACGTAGATGTATATCCACATGCACATGCGAACGGCAGCTCCACGCGAGCAGCAACAGGCTGCCGCTTTTTACCCTCCTCCTCCTCCTCCTCCTCTTTTTCTCCTCCGGGATCTCGGCGTCGCCGTTTCTCGTTCTCTCCTCCTCCTGGCGATGGATCATTTTATTGCGCCCGTGCGCCCGGAAACAGAAAGCTGATGGTCGGATACATCGGGCGAGTCGACTACTATTCGTCCTCTCTCTTCCTCCAGGTCCAATTTGGCGACGTTTCGGCGACGTTGTTTCGATCAGAACGGTTTGTCCGAGGGAGAGACAAGAGGCTGGCGACAAGACCAACTTCAAACGCGCCGAGCGCGAGCTTCGCTCACTCGGGAAAGCAGAAGAGACGGGCCGAAGAGTCAAGTGGGCCGTATGGATCGTGTCGATTTCTCCATCTTGAAGAACCCGATTCCCGTACCGAATGGGAAAGACGCCGCGAAGAGAAGAGAGCGTTTAGCTTCTTAAAGTCCGACGAGAATTTCTCCAAGTTTCTTAGCACACGGAGATCTTCTCTTAAAATTGATCCTGAACACCATGTCATCGTGGGACAACGTGGTATGTTGAACAATTTTATGAGAGCTTTGATTTGATGAGAGCTGAAATTTTGAAGAATAATTACGCGGGACAACACGGCATTTCGAACAATTGTATGAGAGTTTCTCGAAACTACAATTTCAACAAAAGAATTTTCCGAAACTACCATACTTTTTACTAGTGAAATGTACGGTGCAATTTCAAAAAACTCACAAAGTTCTTCAAAATACCATGTACCACGATTTTCAGGGTAGATTTTAAAAGAAAATTCTCTCCGCGATATTATATTCTGATGTAATTTTACACGAGAGCTAGTTTCTACGATACCCAGATAGCACAAGACACTCCTATAAACATTTTAAGAATATTCTTCAAGAATATTTGAAATATTCCACAGGTCATTCTTATATACTATATTTATCTTAGGTTCGTGGAACATTCGACTACTATAAATCTTTTTCGAATGTCAATAGAATAATCTATCGAATATACCGTGTCCGATATATATGGTACGATCACAGGTTTCATTGCTTTTTGCATAAGATAAGTGTATTACACAATAAACAATGTGCAATACATAAATTCGATGGGTATTAAAAAATTGTTCTGAACGAATATGCCGAAAACATTCTCGACGAATATCCTAAAAACGTTCGTCTCTGTTATAAATATACGATTTCTAATTGTAATAATCTATATACAGGGTGTACCGCAATTCGTGACCGAAATTTTAATAACGTATTTCTGAGCAAAAAGTAAGACGAAAATCCTAATACGAAAATGTGGAGGCTATAATACTTTTCAAATGGGAAGCATTTGTAATAGACAAATCAGGTAGTCTAAAGTTCGCGCGTTCAGGGACGGTACATTGCACAGTGATAAAGGTACTCTTGCATCTTTACCGATATACCTAAAAAAATTTAAGTAATTATATGTACAATGATGCTGATGTTATTGATTGAGTCATATTTAAACATGAAAAAATAAAAAAAAATTAAAAATAATAAATATGAGAAGTTGTCCACATGAGAAGTTGTCAACTTATGAAATATCACAGACAATTTATATGGTAAAAATATTTTCTTCAATATCGATTTATATTGAGGTTATTTTTTTAATATGTAGATAAGATAGATTTCATATTTTATTCAATTTGGCAATGCCTAATGGAAACTATAATGTTGATACAAACGCGAAATTTATTAGGAAATCTAGTAACAGTTTTTTTTCTATTGAATATTATAGTTCTATTGTGCTATTATCAATACTATGAGATATTGTATTTGTATAATAACGTTTATTTAAAATTTGTTACAACATATGTTGAAAATGCCCTCCGCCCAATTCTACACAATTCTATAGTATCTCGTAGTAGTACAATTAATAGTAGTACAATAAAAATATAATAATCAATAGAAAAAAAAGTTTGTTACTAGATTTGTTAATAAATTTCGCGTTTGTATCAACATAGTTTCCATTAGGCATTGCCGAATTGAATAAAATGTGAAATCTATCTTATCTACATATTAAAAAAATAACCTCAAAATAAATCGATATTGAAGAAAATATTTTTACCATATAAATTGTCTGTGACATTTCATAAGTTGACAACTTCTCATGTGGACAACTTCTCATATTTATTATTTTTAATTTATTTTTTTTTATTTTTTCATGTTTAAATATGACTCAATCAATAACATCAGCATCATTGTACATATAATTACTTAACTTTTTTTTAGGTATATCGGCAAAGATGCAAGAGTACCTTTATCACTGTGCAATGTACCGTCCCTGAATGCGCGAACTTTAGACTACCCGATTTGTCTATTATAAATGCTTCCCATTTGAAAAGTATTATAGCCTCGACATTTTCGTATTAGGATTTTCGTCTTACATTTTGCTCAAAAATATGTTATTAAAATTTCGGTCACGAATTGCGGTACACCCTGTATATACATATATATATTTATACAGGGTGTACTAAAACCACTGGATATCCTTTTAATCACAGATTCTTTAGAACATTTCAAGACGAAAGTTCTAATACAAAAATGTCGAGGCTATAATAGTTTTTAAATAATAAGCGGGTATATTTCACCAATGATAGGTCTAAGATTTCGCGCGCTCAGGCACGGCGACGTCACAAGTGAATAAAGTGTTCCTACGAGTGTCGCCCTTCTTATTTAATTCAAGTAGAAATTTGCAACGTGTTGTAACTTCAAAGTGTTCCAGCTGTCAAAGTGATCGATCAATATCAGTTACCATGAAGGTTGTTACTGTGCTAAAAAGGGTGACATTCATATGGAACACTTTTACCACTTGTCACGTCGCCGTGCCTGAGCGCGCGAAAT